ATTATAAATTTAACGGGTCATTTCAAGTTGTTGGGAGAGTCTGTGTGTATAACTTACACATTAGAGAGTATTATTTATAGAATGAGTAATGAATACAAGGTTCTTCCATATTTCCTTTATTACATAAGGATATAGTTATCTTGTATTAAAGAAATTTCAAAGAGAATGGAAGATATTATTGATTGTAAACTTGAATTATGAAATACAAGATGTGAGCAACTATGTATAGTTGCTGAAGTGTAAGAGACAAGCTATCAAGCTAGTAGCTTACATGATAAGCTAGCTAACTAATAACTAATTTGTGTCACTTTCAGTTACATTAGAAACACTTACAAAGAAAAATATAATACAATAGTAAATAAAAAAGAAGAGTAAAATCCTATACTCTAATACCCCTCACAAGCTTAGCAGTGAGAGATCTAAAGGAATCAGCCACTTTGAGCTTAGGCCTAAGAAGCTAAAACCGAGTGGGAGAGCGTTAGATACTAATCAACAACTAGGACACGAATCACTTAAAGTTGCTTGCTTAGAAACTTCCGATGAATAAAAGTGTTAGACAAGTTGCCTCATATAACTTAAGAGGTGGGGGGGGGGGGGGAATTAAGTTTTTTAATTATACCTCTTTTAAAGATTTTCAAACTACTTTCTTATAAATTCAATTTCCTTGGTAAAATCTATATGTAGAAAATGAAGATGCACACTTAAAGACAATTAAAAGGAATAATTAAAAGAGTAAGGAGAAGGAATTGCAAACTCAATTTTATACTGGTTCGGCCAATCCTGCCTACGTCCAGTCCTTAAGTCTCCAACTTGAGATTTCACTATTCTTGTCATTCTTACAAGACTTGAATCCTTCAACACCTTGGAATTTCCTTTCCTCGTGTTGAGATCCAAAAACACCTAAGAGAAAAACACTTTCTCCTTTATAGACTGAATGATAGAATGAGTTTAACGGAATATCTCTCTTGAAGAGTAGGTATTACAATATGATGATCCTTACAGAACTCTTAAAGAATTTGCAAGTGATTATGGCCAAGGAGTTTTTGTAATTGTTTTTCACACTTGAGTTCATAACTTCTTTAAAGAAAAATCATCTATATTTATAGATAAAAATCCCATGGTTGTATCTTTTCATGAAAAGGTGTAACTATTTGAATTCTTCTGAAAAGATATACTGGTAATCGATTATAAGGGTTTGGTAATCGATTACAACGGTTATAAATTTGAAAATAATTGAAATGTTGTATCTTAATATTTAAATTTTGAAGTTCCCTCTCCTGGTAATCGATTATAAGTGCTGATTATCGATTACCAGAACATATTGTTGCATTGTTTCAAAAACTTTTATGTAGAAAACTTCATATCAATAATTTCTTTCATAAATATCTTTTAAGAAATAATTTGAACTATTCTTTAAAGCTTTTGTTAAGTCTTTTGAAAATATTTTTACTTTCGAAAGATTCAAAAACTTGCTTAAATTTAAAGAGATTAAATTGGGGTTTTTGAAAACTTATTCTTAAGGTCAAGCATACTTGTAATTCTAAAAGATTCTTTTACATTTTTAGCTAAGTTGACAAGACTTATCTATGTAATACTTGAGATCTTGTTATTGCTTCAACTTGTTTTAGCTCAACCTTAAATCTTCTTCAATGCTTTATAATCACTTGGGCATCATCAAAACTTTTGTGCATAAAACCTTCCACAAAATGATAAGTCAAACTCCATATGTTTTGTGTGAGCATGTAGCATAGGATTATGAGCAAGGGAGACAGTACTGAGATTACCACATAGAATTTGAGGTGTAGTATGAGAAACTTTAAGTTCCTGTAGTAAGGTTTGAACCCAAATAGCTTTAGTAGTGACCATAGCTAGATTGCTACCTCTACACTATATCTGGCAAGCACTGTTTGTTTCTTGGACCACAAAGAAACATAGTTATTGATAGCGGCCATAGCGGCTGGTGGACCGGAGCAGAGTGGCTTCATGCTGCTATAAAAACCTTGGAGCGGAGTTGTTTTGTGTAGCAGTTGAAGCAGGTGAGATCGCAAAGGAGCGGAGCGACGCTATCTCGGTCTGGAGCGGTTTTGCAAAAAAAAACAAAAATATCCTCAATAAATGAGGAGGGTATTTTTGCCCTTTCATTCGAATTTTCTTTTTTCTATTTAAGTGCGAAATAGTATGTATAGATCTTATATCTTGACCCATTGAGTGATTCACACTATCTTTTGCCCTAAGCATGTAACTTCCCTTCGCCCTCTCTTTCTCTGACGAACTACTTCTATAGTGATTTTTCGTCTTCTCCGACATTTCTCTGACGATTGTAATGGTTATCTCTTCTTTAAAGAGGATCAATGCATGAATTTAGAGATACTTTTATGTTTTTTTAGCTTTTATATATATTATTAATATTATTAATTATTTAATGTATATGAATATAATATTAGAATAGTGGTCATCCCGCCATTTGCAATACTGCTATCCCACTTTTGGGGTTGGCTGCTTCGTTCCGCAATCCAGGATTGATAACTATGCCAAGAAACCAGATTAGGACCAAGAAAAACAGTTGCACCTGAGATTGAGTGTCGATCATCAGGGTCAGATGCCCAGTCAGCATTGCAATAAGCTTGAAGATCGAATGGAGAGTGCAGTAGAGCATGTTTAATGGAAAGACCCCATGGGATAGTGCCTTTGAGATATTTGAGAATGCATTTAACAACTGTCCAATGTTGTTCAAGAGGTTGAGCCATAAATTGGCAGTCTTCAAAAACTAATTTCAGGTTTGGTATAAGAGAAGATATATACTTGGCTTCTAGGCCATTCTACAATTCACGGAGGCTATAAATGTCTGTCACTTGATGGAAAGATCTATATATCCAGAGTTTTGTTAAAAGAGCATAAATTTTCTTACATCCCATCACCAAGAAACATCATAGTTTCAATACCTCATATCCTTTCCCAACCTCAAACCATTAACCCTTCATCTACATCCTCCATATCCTCTATGAATACTACATTCGAATCTCAGCCAGATACACATCTTATATAACACAGATCAAAACACCAATACTGACAACACCTCCTCACCTAATATCTATACCATCTCTCATAACACTCACCCCTTGAAGACAAGATCAAAGTATGGAATATCATGTCCTAGACTTCAACCGACCCTTCTCTTAATCCACATAGAACCAACATCATCAACCAAACATGCCTTAGCCATTCCTGTATGGCTTGATGCTTTGAAAGTTGAATATAAAGCCTTGTTAAGAAACAATACAGGGTCCTTAGTTCCACTTCTATCGAACAAAAATATTATTGGGTGCAAATGGGTTTTCAGGTGAAGGAAAATTCTGATGGATCTATAAATAATTATAAAGCTAGATTGGTTGCCAAAGGATTTCTTCAAACTCCTAGTTTTGATTATAATGAAACTTCTTCCCCTGTCATCAAACATGTTACTGTTCACATCATCTTAACTTCAGTTGTATCAAATTGTTTGATGCTCAAGCAACTTGACATTAATAATGCCTGGGCTTCTTGAAGAACTAGTCTATATGGTTCAACCTCCTTGGTTTGAATCTAATGACAAGAAGCTGGTTGTATAACTCAACAAAGCTATATATGGCTTAAAATATAGACTAAAGCATACTCTTATACAATTTGTGTTTAAAGGCAACAAATGTGATCCCTCACTTTGTCTAGTCTGCTTATCTAAATGTTGTTTACATTCTTGTCTATGTGGATGACACAATTATTACAGGCAACAATCAAAACTTTATTGAATCACTATTCACTAAACTTAATTGCTTTTTCTTTTAAGGATCTTGAGAATCTGGATTATTTCCTTGGACTTGCGGTCAAACATCACTCTAATGGCTCTCTGACTCTTACTTGGTAAATACATCAGAGAGCTTCTTAACTTAACCAAGACGAATGAAGCAAATTCTATTTCTTCTCCTATGGTCAGTGGCTGCAAACGTACAAAAACTGGTTCAGATTATTTCAATGATCCTACATATTACAGATCTGTTGTTGGTGTTGTACAATATACCTCCATTGACTTGAAATTGGTTTTCAGTCAACAAGGTTTGCCAATTTATCGCTCAACCTCTTGAACTACATAGGCTTGTGGTAAAGCTGATTCTCAGATATATAAAAGGGACTATTTCTTGGGGTCTCTTTATCGATCCAACTCCTATGAACTCTCCTTTACACCTTCAAGCCTACTGTGATGCTGACTGGACCTCTGACCCAAATGATAGGCGATCTAATTCAGTTGTTGTTGTCTTTATTGGACCTAATCTTGTGTCTTGGTGGTCAAAGAAACAAATTGTTGTTGTCGGATCAAGTACTGACGCTGAATACAGTAGCTTAGCCCTTGCAACTTTTGAAGCTCATTGGATTCAAACTTCTTCAGGAGCTAACCTTATTATTTATAGAATGTGTCACAAATACAAGTATCATTTCTGTAATTACACAAAGATATAGCTAACCTATCACCTTTACACATTGATTCTGACATAAGTTCGAAATGGATCTAACCTTTTAGGACATTCTACAACATACTTATTGTAGCCACTTGATACTAGTAGAGTACATAACAGGCAGTTGATCAAGCAAATGAGGCTAATTTGATTAATTTCGAGAAAGTGCCAAATAGACTCACCATTTTTTTTATTTTTTATTTTTTTTATAATGTCTGGACTTTGGTTGTGATAAGATCATGAAGTAAACTAGTTCAACTTCCTCTTCTAGTATTTTTCACCTTTTGTTTTTCTTAATGTTTTGTAATCTTTATTGTATTCTCCTTCTCATAATTATTAATATTTTTCCTTATATATAAAATATGAATCCTTGCATTTTGTTTTCCTATTAGATAAAATTCTGGTTTTGATTACCCTCCTTTTGATAAGTCAATTAGTTTCTCTTTCATGGTTTATTGCTGGTGAAATTGAATTCATCACTCCCCTTTAATTTTTAAAATTGTATTGATGCAGTCAAATCCAGTTCTTGAAGCATTTGGTAATGCAAAAACTGTTAGAAATGACAATTCTAGGTAAGAGATTTCTGGTTATGCTCTATGATGCTTGGATTTTGACATGTTACGTTATGTGTTTGATACATATATCCTTTTTATAATATTTTCTTCAGCTCTATACATGCTTTTCCATGAATGTGATTTCTAGTATATGGTTTCTATTCATGTTAGTATCTTGTATAGGTAGAGGTTTTTGAATACTTTACTCATTTTTTCTTCAACTTTTAATTTTATCATCATTTACATACTTAATGTTTTTTACTTTGTCATTAATTTAGATGGAAAAAAATGTTCTTCATGGAAATGAAAGACTATTTTTTGTTGAAAAAATTATTGGGATCTATTTCTTCTTTTCATGTTATTTGTATTCACAGTCAGTAAGAAGTACTGGGCATCGTAAAGGTTCTTTCTCATTTATGTATTAGCAATTTTGTTGAAAAGAGAGAAACAAATATTTTCTGAACATGCTTGAGTGATAATTCTACTTTCTACCCCGCAGAATGAATTTATTTATATTCAAGAGAATTACAAAGATAATTAATGCCAAAACAATTTACAAGAGAACAATTAAGATACTACTACTTCCTATGATGAATTGAACCTAGCTATGCCAAGTATCTAGGCAACTTGGAAAAATAAACATTAAAGGAATTCCATTTCCAACATATTTCAATAGCAGGTACTCCCTCTGGACTTATATATAAACAAAAAATGTTTAAAATTTTTATACTGAGATAAAAACAAATTTAAACAAAATCAACCTTATTTAATGCTCTTAATCTAAAAATATCCCTAAGATGATAAATGGGAGCACTATCTACAATAAATGTGATTAAGGATATTTAGGAATTGTAGTGTATATTGTACATGAAATTGTGAAAGTTAAATGCATTTAACTAGCTTCCTTAATCTGTGTGAAATTATGTTATTTTGCTTATATATAGGTCCAAAAGGAGTAGTAGTTTCTTACCTACTTCTGTTTGTTTTATTTTCTTACAGCCGTTTTGGAAAATTTGTTGAGATTCAATTTGATAAGCGTGGAAGAATATCAGGTGCAGCCATTAGAACTTATCTGCTTGAGAAATCTCGGGTTTGCCAAGTCTCAGATCCTGAGCGTAACTATCACTGTTTCTACCTTCTCTGTGCTTCTCCTCCTGAGGTAGGCAAGTCAAAGCTTGATCTTCTATTCACCATTCTTCATGTCATTTATAATTTTATTGGCAGCATCCTTATTTTGTTTAGGAAAAGGAGAAATTTAAGTTGGGAGATCCTAGATCATTTCACTACCTTAATCAATCCAATTGCTATGACTTAGTTGGTGTTAATGCTGCTCAAGAGTATCTTAGCACAAAGAGAGCCATGGATATTGTGGGAATCAGTCAAGAGGAACAGGTATTACGATAAAACTTTGTTAGTGATTCTAATAATTCATTTAACTGCCTCTCCAAACAAAACTTATAAGTAAAATCAGAAATATATTTCCTTCCTTCCTCTTCTCAGGATGCAATTTTCAGAGTTGTAGCTTCTATTCTTCATCTTGGAAACATTAAGTTTGCAAAATCTGAAGACACTGATTCATCAGTTCTAGAAGATGAAGAATCCAAGTTTCATCTCCAAATAACGGCAGAACTTCTCATGTATGGCTGAATTTTGCTGTTATCATTTTGCAATATCTTTGTTTTAATATTATTTATCAATTGAATTTATTCATATTTCAGGTGTGATCCTGTTGCTTTGGAAGGTGCACTCCTTGAGCGTGTGATGGTTACGCCAGAAGAAATCATCAAGAGAAGTCTTGATCCTCTAGGTGCTGCAGTTAGCAGGGATGGTTTAGCCAAAATGCTATATTCTCGTTTATTTGACTGGTAATGTGGTTTTGTCACACACACACACACACACACATATATATATATATAATATCATCCAAGTCTGAAAGATTTCTTATTTCAATTTAGAAGGAATTATCAAAGACATGTTAAGATAATTCTATAAGATATAGTTTAGATATACTAGTTTATCTTCTCCTATTTTCTAGTTTAGTTTCCTTAGTCAGTTTTCTCTAAATCCCTAAACTTTAGGGATTGATTATTTTTTATGCCTATTTATTTTATTGTACCTATTCAGATTCTATAATAAGAAATTATTCATATTCAAGTTGGTACCAGAGCTCTCTGGTCTAGGAACCCTAATCCAGCCGCCAACATCTAGGGTTTCTAGGGTTTTCGAGTTTTGTTCGCGGTTGCCGGAGTTGACACCGCCTGCACACTCAGAGGTCATCGATCGGCCTCTCCGTCGAGAGCCACCGTCATCAGCCGTCTCACGCGCTCTCACGCGCAGTTCTTGTTGAGGAAGCTCGCCGGCGCGTGGGCTTCACGCGCCGCCCTCCCAGCCTCCGTTTGCGACGCGGTTCACTCCGTTGGACTCGCCGGCCCTCCCTCTTCTCGTTTTGACCCTTTTCAGGTTGTGGGTCACACTCTAGGTGGTCTGTTGGTGGTCGTTTGGTTGCGGCCTCGGAGTTCCGTGGTCGTTTGGTTGTTGTCTCGGAGTTTCGTGGTCGTTTGGTTGCTGACTCAGAGTTCCGTGGTTGATTGGTTGCTAACTCGGTGTTCCATGGTTGATTGTTTGCTGTTTCTGTGGCTTTTTGATTGAGGTTTTCTTTTGTTGTTTTTTCTCCTTTTTTTTTTTCTCTTCATGGCTCAATCTCCAACTTCGGCTCTAGAGCTCAAGATTGAATCTGAGGGCAATCATCTAATCTCATTATCTACCGATGATTACAAAGAGTATCTTCAACTGAAGGCAACGCAACAAACCTCTTCCTCTGTCACTGTTGCTCACACTGATAATTCTACCGTCTGTCTCTCTCACTCTACGTTTATTGGACCTTGGGTTTTGGACTCTGGGGCTTTTGATCACCTAACTGGTAATGTCTCCCTTTTCCATAGCCTATCCACTATCCATGGGGGGTCATCCTCAACATATAACTCACACTGGTTTGGTACATCAATGTGAGTATGTTCCCCTGAGGGTCAACTACTTTCTTGCAAATGGCATTGAAGAATAAACACAATCTAGTAATAGCAACTCTAACAGAAGTTGGTAAAATGTTACGAATAGCCACAGATAAAAGTTATTGCATTAAGACATGACAATCGCGAGACTTTAAACCAATTAACTTCAAATCTTGCATAGACACCAGACTCTTAACATTTGAGGAGTACCCTTGTGGAACTTTCACACTGCGTAAACACTCACTAAAGCTTTTTTTTTCTTTTTTTGATAGAGTATGACAAGCTGGAGGAAAGTAAGTGCGTTTTCCAATAGATTGAGGATATAACTCAAAACGTATACCCATGTCCACCAAATCTTGTCGTGCTTTCACTCCATCTTTTCTCTTTCCTTTTATGTTTAGCAATGTCTGAATTACACTATCGCAAACATTTTTCTCCACATGCATCACATCTATACAGTGTCTAACATCTAACTTGCACCAATAAGGAAGATTAAAGAATATTGATCGTTTCTTCCACATATTTTTCTTAGTTGACTTCTTTTGCATCTTTCCGAACACAATGTTAATGTTCTTCACCGGCTCATATACTTGCTCACCACTGCGTGATGTCGAGGCAATTTCATTCTCTTGACATCCATTGAATGCTTTCTTCAATCTACGGTATGAATGACTACGAACTAGAAACTTACAATGCCTAGTGTATGCGGTCTTTTGCCCATGTTTCAATTGGATATAACTTGTGTTTTCTTCACATATAGGGCATGCATAATGGCCCTTCACACTATAACCGCTCGTTATCATATGCTGGAAAATCATTTATTGTGAAAAATAACATTGCACGCAAAGTAATTTTTTCTTCACGGTATGCATCAAAGACTTCCACTCCTGTTTCCCACAACATTTTCAAGTCATCAATCAAGGGACTGAGATACACATCTATGTCATTTCCTGGTTGTCGGGGTTTTAAAATCATCATAGACAACATAATATATTTTCTCTTCATGCATAGTCAAGGAGACAAATTGTAAATGACCAACAAAATTGACCATGAACTGTGTTTACTACTTAAGTTCCCATAAGGATTCATGCCATCTGTAGTTAGACCAATTCTCAAGTTTCTTGACTTTGCACCAAATTCTAGAAATGTTTCATCAATCATCTTTCATTACGGAGAATCAGCTGAATGTCGAAGAAATTTATCACATTTTCTACCATTTTCATGCCATGTGAGGTTTTTTACATCCTCTTTAATGGCAAACAATCTTTTAAACCTAGTTATTATTGGCAAATACCATAAAACCTTAGCAGGGGGACCCTCTATTTCTTCCTCACCACTACTTCCATCAGTTTTCTTTTTGAACCGCGACAATCCACATGTCGGACACACTTTCAATGTAGTAAAATTATTTGTATACAATACGCAATTATTAGGGCACGCGTGTATCTTCTTATACTCCAAACTCATTGGACATAGTATCTTTTTTGCCTCATAGTTGCGATTAGGTAACGTAATTATCTTCTAGAAGCATCTCCTTCAACAACTCTAACAATTCTGTGAAACTTTTATTAGTCCAGCCATTTCTTGCTTTTAAACTAAACAATCTTAAAGTTGCTGATAATCTTGTAAACATACTGCATCTTGGGTACAATGGTTGCTCAAAATCAGACTTTAAGGTATCATACACATGTGCTCTTTCAAAATTTTCTTCACCAACATTTTTATTTTAAAGCTAATTATATATATATATATATATGTGGTGAATTTAATTGTAAATGACTGTGTACTGTCAGCATGAAACAAAACGTGTGATATGTGTGATTCAATATCGGTGGATTATCATGCAATATAGATCGAGCATGACTACGATTATTGTTTGACTTTCAGTATTCAAATTAAAAAGGAGGAAAAAGGTTTTATTTTAAACGGGAGAAGTATTTAATTATATTTTAGTTTCTGTAACTTAGTACGGCTTATTTGTTGAAAAATCATAATTAATGCGTGGTTTATGGGGGTAACAATTAATTAGGTATAATAAATTAAATGGAAACAGAAGTGTAGAGATTGTTTTTATGAGACATTTTAGCGTATATATCATGGTTTTAATTATCTACGCACGCGAATCGTTTTTATATATGTTGGTGTTCAAGGTTTAGTATTTGAATTTGATTAGTTCAATTTTCAACTTTCAAGTTCAATGTCCCATGCATGTTGCCCAGTCACAGTCAAGAAAAACGAGTTTTAAAAACAATTAGAGCCCTACATATCTTTTTGTAAATGCTTCACCTTGATTTCTCAACTCACTCACAATCAGATTCTATAATAAGAAATTATTCATATTCAAGTGACATCAAATACAATTATGTGTTTTTTGTTATGTCCAGGTTAGTCCATAAAATTAATAGCTCCATTGGGCAGGATCCTAGCTCAAAATGTCTCATTGGCGTTCTTGACATATATGGCTTTGAAAGCTTTCAAACAAATAGGTGAGAGTATTTTTATTTATTTTTTTATTGCATGTAATCTTGTTATTGTATGTTTGCATACTTTAATTTAGGAAGAAAAAGAAGCATTTGCACAATACAAAAAATGTCTCATATTTGTTAACAAAAAAACATGCACACAATTTCCATTCATATTTATTTGTTAATGCATTTATACTTCACCATGCTTAGGTGGGTTGATTTCCTTATTCTTAAAATAACCCTTCTCCTTCAATACCATTAATATTTTGAGTTGGAAAAGACATTTTCAAACAAGCTCTCCCTTTCATTTTGCTGCTTTAGTAAATAAGATAAACCAATGCTGATATGTGATTCCCTCATTGTAGTTTTGAGCAGTTTTGTATAAATTTCACAAATGAAAAGCTGCAGCAACACTTCAACCAGGTATGAGGTTAGTTTTTCATATATTTGACAACTTCAATTGTGAGATTTTTCTCTTAACATTCAATCTGATGTCAACGATGTGCTGCAGCATGTGTTTAAGATGGAGCAAGAGGAATACACAAAACAAGGGATTGACTGGAGCTACTTAGAATTTGTAGATAATCAAGATGTACTGGATCTCATTGAAAAGGTTTCTGCAAACTTTTAGTCTGTGCTCAGTATTTATTAAAGGAACTTGTGAAAGCATACTCTATAGGTTTGCCTTTTTTTTATTTTATGAAGTACTATTTTTGGAATTCAAAGGCAAACAATTGCTGAACCACATTTCTAATCCAAGGACCATTGCCAAATTTAATACAATTGTTAGCTGCTATACATGAATATAGTTTGTTTCTAGTCATTTAGTTGGAGCAAATCTTGATTCGTTGTGGTGTTCAACTCTTCCTACTTAAGGGTGTCAAGTTTCACAAAAACTTAAACTTAGGTAAAGGCCTGGAAGCCCAAAAATGGATTTTATATTGTGAATACGCCTCCTATGAGCCTTATAAATGTTTGAATTGTGGACAACTGCTTAGGCCCATTTTACTTTTTTGCTTAAATTTAGCTTAATCATGAAGAACAGGCACACCAAGGATTAAACACTTGGTCGTAGAAGCTTTTGAGTTGTTAAGAATCAAATATCCTACAATCTTTGGTATGCATAATCCCCACAATGGTTTCTATATCTCTAACAAAAGGCATCTTAGTAGTTGAGAGAGATTAAGGGGAATTTCTGGACCTTTGTTTTGCATGGATTCTCTTGATGTGTATTTGGATGGAATGTTTAAGATTTCTAAAGAATTTAATGTTCCAAGAATTTCAATTGGTTATATTGAAATTTCTTCATTTATATTTTGTTTGTTTGGATAAAGTAATCAAATTTCTTCATTTTCAAAATTTTATATTTGGATAGAGTAATCAAATTTCTCCATTTCTATTTTTTTTTTTAATTTGTATAGAGAGGAGAGAAATAGTGAATGGAGAGAGAGAGAAGAGAGAAAATATAGAGAGAAGAGAGAGAAGGTGAACACAGTGATATTTCAAATTCCTACTTTTTTTTGTTGAATTTGAAATTCTATTATTTTAGGTCATCAAAATATTTCAATAAATTATTAGATTTTCTAATACTATTTAAATACAGTATCTAAACAACATATTTTATTAAATTCTCACTTAAATTGAATTACTCACTTAAATTTCCTTATCCAAACAGACCCTTGTGGCTTTTTATCTTGTAGTATTTTATTTCTTGAGAACTGCTCATCCTCATTTTTATGTATCTGTTCCTTCCTCTAAATAATTTCTTCTTTCACTTTACAAAAATAATGAAAATTGTTTTTGCGAGTGTTGACTTTAAAAAATCTTATGAACTACGATAAATACCTTTTTCTTGATATAACATATATACTTTATTGTAAGTACCTTAATTCTACGCAGATTACTTAGGCATCCAGCATATATACTTTATTGAGTGCAAGGTTGTTTACATGAATCATAATTTTGACTTAATCAATCTTATAATCATTTCTCATTGTAAAAGAGAAACTAGTTTGGTTGAGATATTGTCTGGTACATATTTTACAAATTGAGGCATGTGGATTTCTGGCAGTTGGGTGTGCTTACAATTGAGGTGTGTAGTTCTTGTCTTGTTTTACACTGTTACACATTATTCATTGCCAAAGGACCATATATGCTTTTATTTGATCAATGGAAGCCTTGTGGTGGTTATCATTTGTTAGTCATGGTATTGAAAAGATTCCAGGATTATCATCCACAAGTCATTCTGGGGTGAAAATATTTATGATGATAGCTTCTCACAACATGATTGTTATATACAGGACTTCTGTTTTGAAATATTTATGGATTATTTGTTTTGGAATTTGCTAAGATTGTATCCTCTGAATATCTACTTTCAGAATATCACAACACTGATATCTAAAAAATGTCTTTTTTTCTTTCTTTCTTTCTTTCTTTCTTTCTTTCAGAAACCTGGTGGAATCATCGCTCTGCTTGATGAAGCTTGGTATGAGGAATTTTCTCTGTTCTTTACTGTGAATGCATTTATATTTTAAAAAAGAGAGAAGAATAGAGAAATGAGAGGAGTTTTGTGCTTGCAAGAATGAAATAACTTTATGCAATGTAGAGCTTGCCCACATGCTAGATTAAGTTTCATAATATTGGGAAAAGCTCCAGTCCCGCCTATCTTATATCTCATTTTAAAATGGCACCCACCGTTTATCCTCACACTAAACCCAATAGTGTTTGGTGTAACGGGATGTATTAGAAAAAACTCAAATCCCATATCAATTAGAGATAAAACTAACAAAAAGTATATAAATGGAGGAGAATCTTCACCTTACAAGCCGGTTTTGTAAGGTTGAGTTATGTCCACAATCCACTTTCTAAGACATAACTATGCCATGCATTATATATTTGAATTGATTGTTACTGTTTTAGTAAATGCCTATTAAGATTTATGCATGTAATGGGATGTGACACATTTATATTTGGCACTATTAGGATTCGATATTCATTCTTATGAGTTTAAGGTGAAGAATAGGTAAGTTTTGGTCTCTTCTTTACTAACTCTTATTGACATGTTCATTGTCTGCTTGCAGTATGTTTCCCAAGTCAACTCATGAAACATTTGCACAAAAGCTTTATCAGACATTCAAAGATCACAAACGCTTCATCAAGCCAAAATTGGCACGCTCAGACTTCACTGTTGTTCATTATGCAGGGGAGGTGAGTTTGATTCTTCAATTGCTATGCAATTTTCTTTTTATCTGTATGTTTCTGCTAAAATTTGTTATTTATTCACTTCTTTTCAGGTTCAGTATCAATCTGAGCAGTTTTTAGACAAAAACAAAGACTATGTTGTTCCTGAACATCAAGACATGCTAAGTGCTTCCAAATGTTCATTTGTATCAGGCCTTTTCCCTTCACTTTCTGAGGAGACAGCTAAATCTGCTAAATTTTCTTCTATTGGTTCTCGTTTCAAGGTATCTAAAATATGGTTATCTACCTTGTCAGAAAGAATTATGTATTTGATAAGCCTTACTGCAATCCAAAGGACAGAAGGTAAATATTTTGTACTTATTTGTGCAGCTTCAATTACAACAATTGATGGATACACTCAATCTGACAGAGCCACACTATATTAGATGTGTGAAGCCAAATAGTCAATTAAAATCTTGCTTATTTGAAAATTTGAACGTCATCCAACAATTACGATCTGGTGTAAGTAAAATTGGGAATTAAGTTGTACCACCTGAGGATAGGAGTATTAGCACTTCCATTGCCTGTTCACATTCTCAACTAGCTACTAATTTCCTAATTTTCTCCCGAGTAGTTGTTTTATTCAGTCAAACCTTAATTTCATTCCTATTTGTCTATTCATATTTAATTGGGGACAATTAGAAATTGCAATTAAAAATAACATGAAGAATGTGAATAGGCAATTAGAAGTTCCAACGGCCCTTTCCTCGTTCTCATTAATCATAACTCTTTAGAATTTTCACCCATTGTTGATGTTGTAGGGTGTTCTTGAAGCAGTAAGAATTAAGTGTGCTGGATTCCCCACTCACTGGACCTTTCATGATTTTTTAACTCGATTACGTGTTCTTGCTCCAGAGGTTCTTCGAGGAAAGTAAGTGCAACTTAACACCAATTTTAACCATGTTCTTTTCACACAATTGTCTTGATGCCATGCTTTCCACTTTGACATTTGTTTGGTTTCCTATCTTGAAAATGACCTGCATTTATGCAGCTTCGATGAAAAAGATTCATGTAAAATGATTTTGGAGAAGATGGGAATGACAGGTTATCAGGTAGAGCTGGAAATTTATTGAATTTTGTTTGTATTGTTTAATGAATGCAACATTAAAAGAATTTTTTTAGAAGAATTTATTATTCTTTAACATTAAAGTTGCTGCCATTTATATCCCAGAATCTTTTTCTGGTACTTTTCCATTTGACTGGGGGCATGAAATGAAGTGTTAACCGTTTGACTTATGACCAGTGTTATCAATGGTGGATGCCGGAAGGCCAAAATTCCACCATATAAACATGCCAATTGCGCCTATGGTGCTGCCATAGCGGGCCTCCCTTCACAAATTGCCTATGGTGGTTGGCAAAAAATTGGCCATGGTGCTGCCATTAAGCAACAATGCTTATGACAAATGATGCATATTCTGACCCACATAAGTTGACCTAAAGTCTTTATTGCAAGATGCTTTCCTATTTTAAGCTGAACTTTTTGTGATCTGCCTAATTTTGCAGATTGGGGAAACAAAAATATTCCTAAGAGCTGGACAGATGGCTGAATTGGATGCTCAGAGAGCATTACTGCTTAGTAATTCTGCAACAGTTATCCAAAAGCATGCTAAAACTCGTTTTAGTCGGCAAACATATATTGCCTTGCAAAAGTCCTCTGTGTTTCTGCAATCCATTTGCAGAGGTCAGTTATTTGTCTTTTTGGTATTATGTGGAGGACAAACTTGGTTACTCAGAGGTGGAATATCACTATGGGCAGAAAAGCATGAAGCCTTTTAGTTTAAATGCCCCTTCATTGTATTCTAATTTCAAGTCCTTTTTCTTTCATAGTTTTCAAAGATTCTCTCAAAGGGTGGGGAAAGAAATATAATATTGTCATATCGTATTTGGAGTAACTTAAAAGAAACTCTAGTAATGATCTTTGAGAAGAAAAAGAAAGTTAAAATGGACATATGCACCCCCACACATGAGAAAACAATCCTCTTGTATCTCTATGAGCAGAGCTTTTTATTGCAGAAGAATTAGCATCCATCCATTCATGACGATATCTGTGTGTGCCCTGTTTTGATTTTCCCTTCTAGGTCTTTTGAAATAGTCCGAAAGACTGAAACACAGTATAGTTCACACTGAACAATAAAATGTGGTATGAAGATCATTATCTTACAGCAGAATTATATCCCTGCACTTGCAAGAATTTGAGGATAAATAGAAAATATATGGAAGCATTAAAAACTGCCCAAACTCACAAGAGAGAGAGCAAGATTTTTAATGTAGAAAATCATCTCAATAAAGAGGTAAAATCATAGATCATCCAGACCGATGAAAACAACTCCACCATGATGAAAATGGGTACAAAATAGTCTCAAACAAGTACATGAATCTGTGCTAATAGCCAGCCAATCAACAAGAAAGCAGCAAACTTACAATAGAGATTAGAGAATGAAGAATATGAAAATCACCCATAAACAGGGTTCTGTTCAAGCATAATATCTGCTATTCCTAACAGGGAATCACCATTCCAATCGTTGAAAATGAAGAATCTGATGTCCCAAACTTACTAACAAAATTTCAGCCCAATCCCAATGGTTAACAAATCCCAAATGACTTTATCTTCTTTTCTCTCAATGGTGTCTAATACTTCCTTGAAATTGGCCTCTCTCTCATGTGCCCTAATTAGACCCATCTCCACTTAGAAGTGTGACATCAAGTGGGTTTCAATTTTTCAGCCTTTCTCCAAATAAGAAAGGAGCCCAATATCCAAAAATATATATCAATTGTGAAATGCATAAATAATGAAGACTTTTGTAGAGTTCAGTTTGCCTGACATGTTTTTTTTCATACTTCATTGCTTGGTCTTACAGTTTCAAAGGAACTCTTATGCTTAGACAGTTAGATTTAAGTTTTTCATAAAAAAATTTACAAACATCACATTTACTCAATTTATTATATTAAGTACTTATTGTTTCAACTTTTAGGAGTATTGGCTCGAAGATTGTATTATCACATGAGGAGGGGAACAGCCGCAGTCAGAATTCAAAAGCATATGCGTCGATCACTAGCCAGGAAATCATACACTGAAGTAACGAGCTCCGCCATTGTCTTGCAGACAGGTTTTCGAACAAGGGCTGCTTGTGATAATCTTAGATATAGAAAGCAAACCAGAGCATCAATTACTATTCAGGTTAGATCTGTCCTTTGGGTAAAATATGTTTTTAATCTTCCTAAATCTCTCGAAATTCAGTTTTAGTCCTTATAAAATTTTAATATGCTTTTAGTCTCTACATTTACCACAAGCAATGTGGTTTTAGTCCGCATGTATTTATATTAAGATGTAGAGACTAAAAATGTATTAAATTTATATAAGTACTAAAACCAAACTTTGGGATATTTAGAAAGACTAAAAACATATTTTATCCTATTTTTTAAAAGATTTTCTGTTGCCTGAAATTTTAGGAATGAAAACATGCAGTCCTATTGGCGGCGACACAAAGCTCTCTTTGAATATAAGAACCTTAAGAAAGCGTCAATCATTTCACAAAACATCGATCATTCAAATGATACACATGAAGAGAAGGTTGTATATTTTAATATTTTCTCACAATTACACTTCTAGTCTATCTAGTTTGGACTAAGTACAATTTTAGTTCCTCAAGTTTTTTTCAAGTTAATTAAGTTCCATTTTTAAAATTAAGCAAATTTAGTTCCATGTCATATTTCTTTTATTTAACAAAATATTATTTTCTATTCAAATATTTGGGGAGACTATGATGAACTTGGGATATGAAATAATTTTAGAAGAAATTCAGTTGAAACTGGATAAAATTGGAAGTATTTTACAAAATGTGAGATTAGGGTTTAAAGAAGGGAAAAATTGAGTTTTTCTTTTCTTTTCTAATTTTGGTGTGAATTTGATGTTTTGGCTGGTTAGTTTTGCATAGAAGACAATTTAATCGATCCAATTTATAAAGATTGAGTGAAGAAATTCATTGGGGACCAAATTTTCTTAATTTTAATAATAGAGGGACTAAACTTGGAGAATCAAAATTATAACAGTTCAAATTAAAGGAACAAAAAATGAGCCTAATATTTTTACTTTGATAAGTATCTGTATGTTTTCATTTTTTATACTCCTTGTTTCGTTAATTATTAGTAGCAGCTAGTCAGCTTTATAAAACGGGAATATATAATATAATTCAAAGCTATTGTAGAACCTTCTCCTAATTGCTTACAGCATTCAGGAAGACTACATGATTAGGAATGAAAAATGATTGGGAATGTCTTTGGCTTAGTAAATTGAAATGAAAACAATCAATACAAAAACACATGTACCTTCTTTTAACATAATTATCTTGAAGTCTGTTGACATAACAAAATGAACTGGTTTGCTGTCATGGAACGCCAGGTTTTGGAGACACCTATGCAAAATGAAAGTCCTATGGAAGAATCTTCATATCCTGTCCAAGAAGAATCTTCAAATCATGTCCAAGAAGAATCTTCAAATCATGTCCAAGAAGAATCTTCAAATCCTGTCCAAGAAGAATCCTCAAGTCCTTTCCAAGATGATGAAAGCATTGAAGTTATCAGGGATTCCTCTAGTCCTCTCCATGACACTGAAAAGATTGAGGTTCTTAATGTAGAAATAAAAAACTTGAAGGTAAACATAGTATATCTACTTCCTTTATTATAATATCTTTAAAATATCCCAAAATATCGTTAGTGTCTTGAATATTTTACAGTATCATAGATTATCTCTTAGAGAATGGTTTCTAAATTTCATTATATATGTTTCCTCTTAGAATTTGGTCTTAGAGCTTAATTCAACCATACAAAACTAACTTGTAAGGTGAGAGTTGTGTCCTACTTCTATATACTACTTTGGCCAAATCACGGACGATCCAATAGGTCCAATAACAATTACTAGAATAAACTTTGATACCATCATAAAATTTTGGATTTAGATTCAACTCAACTCTATTAAATTGACTTGTAAGGTGAGAGGCGTCACTTATACTATTTTGGCCATCCAACATTTCAGTTTTTAATTAAGATTGAGAGTTTAGTTTCGGAATAAATAAATAGGTTTAGTTCTTTGTCTTTTGTACTACATTACATGCCATATTTTATATTTATTGTTTTCTTTTCCTCCTTTTCTATCTAAATCCATATAGTTTCAATATGGCATTAGAGCAATATCAGCCTCCATTGCATGTCTCATCGTGTTTCCATTCTTGAGTTCTTTAAAATCAAGCACTTTACTATGATGACCTCACTATCTCCAAGATTATTTTCTTCCCATTGGTCATGCGCAAAATTCCAGCAACTGAAACCAAACCCTACACAACATCAATTACTAACAATTCTTCCCCCTCCCTCCTTTTCTTTTTCCATTTTCTTTGGTACATGAACATGATCTATGCAGTGTCCCAAAACTGACAACTAAAGATTAATCTGCCTTGACGAAGTGTGATTTCTACTGGCCAAATATTATTTTAACACTAACGGGAATCAATCCTAGGAGTATCTGGTCGGCTTCCATGTCCAAGGACAGGTCTAACAACCACTAGGCCAAGATGATTGGTTTTTTCATTTTCCATTTAGTATCATCGTTGGTTTCCAATGCCAATATTAAAAAAGAGAACAAATGCAAGAGATGCTGAAATCATGTCTTGACTACATAATGGAGTCTGTTTTATGTAGACTTAATGCAATACATGCAAATAAATAGAGGAGATAATATTTCTATTTACATGACATGATAGACTTACAATTTCAAAATTCCTAATTAAATAAGGAAACAAATCATAATAAAAATCAATTCTAACAGATAATCTAGAATACTCTAAAATAGTCTAAGATATAAAAAGATATTATCAAATATTTCTAAGATTTTCTAGCACTTCTGAAGCTAAAGCTTATTGCAAGAAAATAATTCATTTCCCCGTAAATAAAAAAAAAAAAACTTAAAAATTCAGTTCTACCAAAAACATTAGTTGCTACAAGATATTAGAGAAAACTGAAATATAACTTCATCTAGTAAAATGATTAAGATACTAAATCTCTGTTTACAACACCTACATATAACTGTCAAACTATGACAGCTACAACTAACATAAAGTAAAGTAGCTAACTAACTAACTCAGTTACAATTATTATGATAAAGGACTTATACACACAAAAGAAAACAATTCATTTCCCCGCAAATAAAAGAATAAAAATAGAAAACATTAAAATGGAGCTTCACCAAAAACAATTGTTGTAAAGGCAACTCAAGGATGCTAGAGAAATCGAATAAAATTGCTAGAAAGATAGCTTAGCTAAACAGCTGGAATGATCACAAGCTTGAGAGAAATTTCTTGGCAAGCAATCAAGCAAAGCAAGGTCCAACCTTCTGAAAACCACATTTGGAAGCTTTAAAGCAATAATATTGGAGACCCAAAATATTTGAACTTGAAACTAAGTCTGACAATGACATATAGGAGAGAGATGAGGCCAGTGCATCTAGGATGAAGATGGAGCCAATGCGTATGGTACAAAGACGGGAACTACACAAAGGACAAAAGGCCAATGCCAGCACTTGGGACCAATGTTGTCAGAACTGAGTCTGTCATCAACTCGATTAAAGTAACGAGTTGGTAGGTTATTAGTCGAATCAGTAAATTACTAGTTGAACCGTATGAAGTGATCTACACAATAGAATTTATAAAACTAGTATATATATTATTTGTGTTGCATATTAAATAAATAACTTCATTGGTTTAGTCTGGTAAGTTCTAGTCTTCCAAAACATGAAGAACTTGGGTTCGACTCCTTTATACTAACAAACAAACACAGCACAACATGCCTCAGATAGTGCTCCTTGGGCCCCGTGTGTAAACACCAGCACCATGTTGCACCTCCTTGAGTTGTGCGAAAGCAGCATCTCTGTCAAGTGTCAACAACTTGGGTCCTGTGCGGAGACGTACCGGTTGATTTAGTCTGACTGGAACTAGTCTATTCAGGTTGCAGGCTGGTTAGATGATGCCATCACCAGGCCAATGCACATCAGTTTCTTTCTCTGACCCGAACTGCTCACATCTCCGGTTCTTGGTCGGACTATTTCAAGCCGGGTTTAATAACACTCCTTGGGACAAAAGGTCAATGATAGAGCATCACAAGGTATGCCACTGCAGAAGTCATCAGCAGTGAACATTCGTTATCATTAAATAGAAAGGTTGGCAGTGGGTTCTTGGTCGGACTAATTCAAGCCGGGTTTAATAACACTGCTTGGGACAAAAGGTCAATGATAGAGCATCACAAGGTATGTCACTGCAGAAGTCATCAGCAGTGAACATTCGTTATCATTAAATAGAAAGGTGGGCAGTGGGTGGGGGATCGGATTGAAGTGAGAAACCGGAAAATCATGACATGATAACAGGATAGTGGTGACAATCATGCTGGAAAGAAGAGATGCAGTGAAAGAAGTGACTAATTGGAGTTACACATTTTTGGGAACTTGACTAGAATAGCACCAGACAGGTCATGGAGGATAGTGCCGCTCTAATACCTGTTGAAAGAGAGAAAAATATGCAAGAGATGCTAATACCATATCTTGACTAAATAATGAAGTCCATTTTATATCGACTTAATGAAATACACAATTAAATATAAGAGATTATAATCCTATTTACAGACCTATATTTGCAAAAATCCTAATTAAATAAAGAAACGAATCTTAAAATAAAAATCAATCCTAATAGATCATCTAGGATACTCTATAAAATAGTCTGCGGTGTAAAAAAGATATTATCAGATTTTTCTCAGATTTTCTAACAGCCAATATAGTATTGACAGGGAGAGCAAGAATGATATGGTTACTTGATATCCTGATGACAATCAGTCCAGCAGTCCTCTTGTGCATACATTGGTGACTTTTCTTCCCGCTGAAAATCATTTAATCAGGCCCTGCTGCCCCTAGTCCCAGATGCTTTGGTCCATCTTTGTCATAGATGCAGTTTGGCCTGTCTCTAGTCCCAAATGTAGTTTGGCCCCACCTCGTATATCAAACACTTTGGCCCCATCTCTATTCTCAAGTGCCCGCTGCTGCATTAAATTTTCTTTTAGTGTGTTTCATGGTAACAAGCTTAAAGCTTTAGCCTGAGGGGACTGTTACTATATCTAGGAAATGTCTCATAATCTAATTATATCTTGGAATATTTTAGAGTATCTGAGATGATTTATTAGGAGTGGTTTTTCAATATTTTTTTGATATGGTTCCTTAGTTAATAGGATTTAGGAGTTCACTATGAGTAGGGATTAATGTTTTTTTTCTTTTTCTGTAACACATTTTTATGTACCGTATATCAAATATTATATTTTATTAGTTTGTTTTCTTTTTTCCTCCTTTTCTACATAAATCCCTATAATTTCAATAGCCTTTTTCACCTTTTGAAATTTAAAGGAATGTTTACTTCTATACCTCTATGTTATCATTCCTCTCATTTTCTAAGTTTTTCTAACATTATATATATTTTTAAAATAGATAATTCATGCTAAGAATTCATGTATAGAATGATAACTTTTGTTGAATTACATGAAAATTAACCTTAAAAAAAGGACAGAGCAATGGTATTCTTTTTTTCATAGAACTCTTATATTTATTGTAGAGGCCAGACAAGATAGATGAATAATTAGTTTGATGCTATAGGAGAAAAAATTCTTGGTATGTTAAAGATGAAATGGATGCAAACAATCTATAAATGAGTAATAACTGGAACTGATACACTTGACAATTTGTGTACATGTTTGTAGTATATAATCACAGAATATGTGATATTACCATGTTGATCAAGGATGAACGATTCAGATCAAAGCATCATTTAAACAATCACATGGTTGTCACTGTTATAATGATCCAGTGCTTTTATGTCATACCGTACGTATGTAATGGATTTTGGTTATGGTTATAGTTATTCAATTCAAATTTACCAAGTTTTTTTCTAATCATTGCATTTCCCAGGTCAAGTTGCATACAGAAAAACAAAGAGGTGATGAATATGAAAGGAAATATGTAGAAGCTCAAGGATCTAGTGAAGAGTTACGCAAAAAGTTAGCAGAAACTGAAAAAAGAGTATATCAGCTTCAGGACTCATTGAACAGGTAGTATTAATATTACCCTTTGAGGATTCATGTAATCTTGCAATTTGATTTTCCAATACCAAAATCCATCCACGATGGTAAAATCATAGCACATGATACCAAGAGGAAAATGGATAGAATAAAGGAAGGAATGAGACAACCCCATAATAACTGTGTGTTCTCTATGTTCTTTTACTAAGGGATATATTATCTTTCAACTGAGTATAGAACTTGCATAAACAATTGTAAAACCAAATGATGGAGCTGAAATGATCAAAATCATTCTGTCAACATTCATAAACACTCTTAGCAGACATACACACTATTAAGACATGGTGGTTTCAAGTTTTACTAATGCTCATAAGTCATGCCTTTCCAATATTATTTATTATTAATCCTATCAAGTCTCTAGTTACTTTTTATTGACCTGGCAAAATTAAAGGATTGAACTTCTAGAAATATCTGATGATATATATAAACAATACCATATTCCATCTTCCAAAGGATTTACACAAACTTGGAATACAAGGGTCAATAAATTTTTGGTTAATTAAGGCAATAATAGTTAGAGTTTCGAAAGACATAATTCTAAAGTCTGTCTGTTGAAGATGTAAAGTTTGGAAACCTGACAAATTGAAGAGGGGGGGATGTAGAAGATGAAATGTTTGGCTTCATTCCCCTTTAGGCATCGTCCTTTGAGTTGAATGCATCATGCAACAATGAAACAAATTTGTTAATTAAATAGAACTTATAAAAACTGAAGTTACTAACCCCGATTTCTCCAAAAGTATCTTCATCAGTAAGAATGAGGCAAACCGATGCTTCAGAGATGAAAATGATTTTTTATTCCTTTGTTAGTATTAATGATCTTTACTTCAGAGGCTGCTGTTGGAGTTCTCCATCAGTATGTTATCCACGTGATGAATATTTCAAAATCTTCATTTATGTATGTTAGGTAGGTAGCACAGAAGTTGACATTTGTGAAGAAGATTTAGATTCAGCCTAGATTTATGAAGTGTTACTTTTGAAATATCTGCTTCCATAACCAAAAATTTTCTGGAACTTAAGTGAATTAGTAATTGAATATTTTCGGTATTTGTTGGAAGGACTGGAAGCAAATGTCCGATTATATCATGAGTCACGACCGGTTATATTCAAAAGCCTATTTTGAACAATAAAAAAGTGGCCAAGATTTACCATATAACAGAAACCATACTTTGTTGGGTCTTAATGGACATTATGGTTTAAACTTAAAAGAATCTAACCTGAGGGGAAAAACATAAGAGAGGGTTTAACTATGGTGACAGTCAAAGAAATTGTTTACTTTGTCAGCCTATTATGGGCATCACTACGATTTGAATTCTGACTTTTAAAACTAAATTCTATTTGATTAATGCTAGATCTGATTTAGTGTGTATCAGGATGATATCTTCCATGTCAACTCAAGTTGCCGAGCTGAAGATGATCTTAAGTACTTCATCAAGATTGAGTTCAACTTTTCGACCTATTGCTAGGGTTGACATTGCTTCCAGTAACTCTGATACTTCATCCACAGACTCCGACTTCACATTTCCAGCTACTGCTTCAAATGAAGCTCCTTCTTCCCCAGAGCCAAATTCTTTCAAATTAGTAGTTCAGGATGTCACTGCTGTGGATGGATCAGGTTAGTCCAACAACTTTCTCCACAAACGTCAATGTACTAATTATCTTCCCATCTAACTTGCTACTGCCTTGGGAGAAAATAATTTGGTGGTCAGAGGGAGTAAAGCCACTATATAAAGACCCTGTCATGTGTATTATTAATGTAATTTTTTAAATAAGAATAGAAGTACTCTTTTTGAGACCTTGGCAGCCTTGAATCTGGGGTTTACAGTGGAATATCAAAGATAAGATAGTGGTAGGAGCGTAGTAGGATTTAGTTGCTTCCTATAATAATGCAATCATATGTATCTAATCTAAGATGATAGTATTAGTGATTGCAATAAAATAAACATTATGAACATGGCTTGTATTTGGATTTTCATTTTTTTTTGAGTTGTCCTTTTGTTATTTATGAAAAGACGAAAATAAGATGTCTGACTGTATCTGTTTTTTCTTTTCTTCATGGTTGCTTTGTTAGGATCTGAAAAGGAGGGTTCGTTTGATGATTTCTTCTAATAAAACTTGTATTTCGTTTATATCGGGCTTAATTTTCTTATCCTCTGTGTCAATGGGGAAAACAAGGAGGTGGCAGGTTAGGCACGTTCACTTCTTCTACCACACACTCTAAAGAAATTGTAGATACACAGTTCATCTCGGGATCCTGTAGATCAGTAAGGTAGAGGTAGCAAAAGTGTCAAACTATATATGATGAACACATTGATCAGTTTCACCCTGTTGATATCCCCTATGAATTCTCTATTATTTGATGTCAAATGACACAGAATGTGATTTGTTGTAATCTCCCGGTGTCAAGTTGGATTCTTATATATAAAAAGAAAAAATGACAGCGCTGATTTGATTTTTTTTTTTTTTTTTTTTTATATAACATCGGGCTTAATGAATGGTAAATCTTTCAGACTTTTCCTATTTAAATCACATATTTTACTTTATATTATTTTTCACTATCTTTATGTAAAAAAAGTATAAAATAAATATATCCACCCTAAACTTTGCGACTTTTATAAATAGTTATTTTTAACTTTCATTTCGCCTACAGAATATTTTCATTTCATCTCAATTAAGTCTTAAACTCATATTATTGTAAACCTACAAATTAAAAGACAATTAATTGAGACAGTGAAAAAGTTCAAGATGTGCATTTGTAAAACACAAAAATCACGGTGTTTTTTTTTTCTCTAATAAAAATAAATGAAGCAAATTTATTTAGTATTAATAACTTAATCCCCAAGTTACCAGAATTGCCTATTACAGCAATGGTAACAGTTTAATAAAAGACGAAATCGGAAGTTAAAGTATTTTGGTAAAAGGTATATAGTTTGGGATAACTATATTTTATTTCCTTAAAAAATGTTATTTTCATTTTATGCTTATCTTTAGTATCTTAACTAAAGATATATTTTCTTACAATTAAAGATACTTGGTGAATTTTAATTCTTATATAAAATTCAAATGTTTTTCTAATTATGACTTTGGTTATAAATATTTACTATGAATATTCTATTTTTAACGTAGTTAATGTCATACCAAATATTAGAATTTAAATTCTAGATAATTTAGTTAAAAATATATATACTGCTACTACTTGAACTAATCAATGTTTGTCACAATTATTTTTTATATGTCTTCATCACATCTTGCATTACACTAAATATTATTTAGCATTTGGGATTATTTACCAACATATATTTCCTCGCTAATGCTGCATAGGAAAAAAAAAGTATTATAATTATAATAAGATCTAATGAAATTTAAGGATGGTTGTTGGAAAAAAAAAATAGTAAGAATTATTCTCCAACTTAAAAGTTAATAAATATGTCAAATTATTTTGCCTAAAATTCCTACACATACAAATTATGGTTGTCTTGCATTTTGCCTTTTCTTTTCCTCCTTCCACTTTTTTGTCACTCTTTTCACTTACAATTTTTTGTGGGTAAACAATGAACGGTGGTTTAGTTTTTCTAGGCTAATAAATAACAACCAAAAGATATATATATTTTCTGAAATAAAGAAAGTGCAGCTCATGTCATGAGTTCAAAAGTGGCAGATACACTAAAATAAAAATAATTATTAAAAGTATGACCATACAAGTGCTGTCAATGTCATTGCCAAAATGAATGTTACAGAATGAAATATGGGGGTGAAAAATGGTTGAGTAGCACCTTTCAATTGATCATAAGTGTTTGGTATGCCGTCATGTTAACGTAGATACACTTTAGGATGGTTTTTATTTATTTTATTTTATTTTTTTTATTTTTTTTTATAATAATTTATTATTATTATTGTGCGTGTGGATTAGAGAAAATTAAAAAAAAAATACTACTCATTTTATTTGCTTTTATCCGTCATCTAAGATTATTAATAATATAATCATAAGAATATATAATTACATTTTACTGAATTATTTTTTGTTAATACTTAAAACAATATATACTACTATTTGTCATTAATTTTATTTCTCTATTATTTAGAAGAACTAAAGCTTACCTTGTTAATAATAATACATCAAGATGTGACTTGTAGTTATATTTGTAGAAAAGCTGATCAAATTCTAAATAATTTGACCAAGTATGGTAGATTTTTGTTAGAAAGTTTGCATGTTTTTCATAATCCATCTCCTTAGCTTCATATTTCATTACGAGTTAACGCTTCAGCAGTATATTTCTTGCATATTGTTAGTTTGACTTTTAAGTCTTTATTGTACAAAAAAACAATACAGGCAAAGTAAAAAAAAAAAAAATTGAGTTTAACTATAACAGGTAAAATAATTCAAAAACATGGATCACACCTTACCATACATAAGCTTTTTCATCTAAAATACACATATATATATATATATATATATATTTAACATATAGTTAATTTTAGTGTTGATTTTAAATATGATTTAACAATATATTTTGTTTGTCATTATAATTTATACTTACATATTTTAACAATATACCAACATATATTATATTTATTGTGTAGATAAAAGTAATTTTTAATAATACATATTATATATTATTATATAACAATTTTTTTTATAGTGATTTGACTATTAACTATTTGATTTATCAATAAAAATTACTATATGGATGACAAAATTTGAATCTAAGACAATTTTTTTACTCTGGAATAGAACTTGGACAAGTTACCTGTCTTAGCTAGCCCAAAATATTTTTTATTGACCTTCATTACACTCACATAAGAAACTTCTCTGAATTGACTTTATATATATATATATATATATATATATATATATATATATAAATGAAGTATTAAATAACATTAAATGATAATATGGAAAAAAAATGTACATTTAATATAGTTTTATAATTGGTTAATAAAAAATGAAATCCAAGTATTTTTATAAAAATGAATCTTTCTACGCGCATGTCATCTTTACACAAGAGTCATGCTAATCTATTTATATTTTTTTATAAGTATATTATATACTAAATTGAATTTAATTGATAAAATATCAATTAATTTTAAAATTATATGATTTATGTGGACTTAGTTTACTTAGTATATAGATAAGTAGAAGGAGAGTTTTTTTTTTTTTTTTGGGAAAACATTGGGATGTGGGGCTTTTGAAGAAAACAACACTGTATTGTTCCATCATCTTTTTATTTAAACAATGAATAGGAAAAAAATATCCCTACTTGTTAAATTTATCACACCATTTTGATTTTTCTAAACATATATTTTCACATATTAAATGATTTTGAATCTTTTAACATGGTACGTTATATATGTTGGAAAGTGAAAGCCTCAATTTTCATTAAATAATCTCACTATGATTAGCTGTATAGGACGCAGTATTTAAATTTGATAAAATTTGTGTTTTTCTCTTCTAATAAGACCATTCAATTTAATTAACACATTAAATACGTGGAAAAGTATTTTTACATACTCTTTATTAGAATGTAAAATTAATCTTCACTTGAAGTAATATTCAAAAATAGTATTTTAATAGAATGTATTTTACTATTTTATAAGTTCAAATTACTACTAAAAATGTTATATATAATGATATATAAAAAAAATTTATTATAAATATAATATATATAAACATAAATCTATTTAATATATAATTACATATAATTTAAGTTTTAATTTTAAATAGACTTCAATAATATATTTTATCACTATAATATATATTTATATTTTTTAATAATATATTAAAATATATTATATTTATAATATTGATAAAAATATTTTTTAATAACAAATAATGTATCTGTGTCACATATAATATTTTTTTTTGGTGAACCCTCGACGTTACAATGACACTTCAATTGTTGATGTCAAATTTATTTTCACTTGACAATCTTTGTTTCTTTATTACTAATATTGTTGCTTTCATTCCATGGTTTTCTGGTGGGTATTTCAATTACTTTTCATTATGGAAATTTATTAATTAATTTATGTATCTTCCTAATAAATGTTACTTATATTAATTCATATTCAAATTTATGTCATCTGAAGAAAATGTGTGAAAGAGTTAAAAACATTGAAATGTGTGGCTTTTGAAGAAAATAACACCTATTGTTGCATAACATTATTAATTATTTTTACATATCAAAGCATTGGTTGGATGATTTATTTGTTGAAATACAAACAAAACCTTATAATTTTAAAATAAGAGGATAAAATGTTTATTGATATAAATCTATTTAGCAATGATTAAAAATAAATTTAAGAGCATTTAAACTTAGAGAGTAAATAATATTTTACTAATGTAAATTGTGTAAATCTTGGTGCACAAGATATAATGCCTTCATGAAAAATATATTTACAAAAACAAATACAAATTACAACAATGATATGAGAGTCTATAATTCAGTACAAAATTCTTGTTAAACAAGAAATAATATTTTTTTAAAAATATATCTCTACAAAAATAAATACAAAATAATTTTTTGATCTTTGGTATAGATAGATTAAAAAATTTTAAATTTTTTTTACATATAGTAATATACAAAAATATCATTATATGTAAACATAAATTTATATGATATATATTTATAATTTTAATATTGATTTTGAATAAGATTTAATGATATATATATTATATCTTACTATAAATTATATTTATATATATTTTTAATAATATACTAAATATTTATAGTAAGGATAAAAATAATTTTTTGAGAAACAATGTATTATTTTATAATGTATGTGTGTAATTTTGGCAATTTTTTTTGTTTTAGTAAACGTGTGAAAGAGATATTTTGTTGATTAAATTGGTTTGATAGTGAATTAATTGATCATGTAGGATATATATGTGTGATGTGAGTGTGAGGTGATGTGTGTATCATGAGTGTGAGTTGCACATTACCTTTAATTATTCTTTTGAAGTCAAATACTCAAATTCTGTTCAAAGTCACTCGAGTGCAATAGTATCAGCATTACCTGCCATATGCCAGAGCTTTCCAGGATCAGGCAAAAGGGAAATACCACTTTCACACAGTTCCTCCATTTTATTTGCTAAGCAATATCCAATTACAGTAGCTGCTGCCAGTGGCAGATGAAGTACACCTGCAGATAGAGATCTTCACTTTCTGCCTCAGAGTACATGATGTTAAGCTTCAACATGATATGAAGCTATTCTTGAATCACTTTCTCTCACTCACTCATCTCTCAAGTCTCCAAACTTCTCTTGTAAGAGATCCATAAGTCTTAATATATAATCTATTCATCAGAAAGTCAAATATTATTTTTTTTCTTCTCTTTCTTTTTTAAATAATTAATATATGGTTCTTCTTTCTTCTCGCTACAGGTTACATATATTTGGACTGAAAATTACAATAGATAAAGAAAGATCCATGGAAGGAAACTATCTGAACAGAAACACTACTCCACAGAGAGATGATAGCTTTGGCTTTGAGGAGCACACATGGGGAACTTCATGGCCTGCAAGAAACTATGCTTGTAGTTTTTGCAAGAGAGAGTTTAGGTCTGCACAAGCATTGGGTGGACACATGAATGTTCACAGAAGGGATAGGGCAAGATTAAGATCATCCTTATCTTCGTGGGTTTCTGAATGCCCTAAACCTAACCCTAGCACTAAGCCTAACCCAAATCTTCTTCCACCCTCTTCTTCACCTTCTCCTTTATCTGATGAGCCTTTGAACTATGCACACCCTTCTCCACTTTGTAGTCCTTGTCTCACTTTGTCTTCCTCACCTTCCCCAGCTTCTGCCAGTGGAGATAAGAAACCAAGACTCACACCTTCTCATCTTTTGAGTCCTCAAAGCAGGGAAATTAAGATGATGAGTGGTTTAAGTGCTGATGAGGAAATGAAGGGCTGTGTAGAGGAGGAGGAGGAGGAGGAGGAACACAAGGGTTTCAAGAACAATGAGCAGAACATTACGTTGGAGTTAGGAATAGGGTTGCTTAAACACCAAGAGGAGAAGTTAGATTTGGAGCTTCGACTCGGGCATTTCTAGCCAGGTGCAATTTTATCAAACAAATTAATGTAATTTGCAACTTTATATTTGTTTAAACTTCTTGCACTAATTTGGGAACCAATTCAAGCTAGCTGCAGTTTTATATTATATATGTTAATTCTACATTTCAAGGACTTCATCATTGTGTGTGCTTTAGTTAAAGTTGGATAGCATTATCTTATAGCTTGCTTGGTATATTCTAGCCATTGAATGGTCTTCCAAGGTTCCTAGAAAACCAATTCGGAGCAATGGTCAAGTGGTAGAAATAAAAAGACGTAAATTGCAAACAGAAGTTAATATTGAATCTTCAATATTAATTAAGATGCCAAATCTTCATGATGTTGTATAGTATATTGGTCTCATGAATTGGCAGTCAAATTTTGCTCTTGAATGGTCTAAGTCTTCATTCTTCGCCTTAAGAATCTCACAGACAATGAGCAGTTCTTGTTTAGTTTGACTGAATATGATTTCCTATATACTAAAATTTCCTCAGCCGGTTTCTCTAGAGAGATGACCAGGTGACTCTGATAAAAATAAAAAAATATTCCTCATAACATCCATGCATTTTCCTCGGCATATATGCACCCGTAGCCTTTACGTTTATGTCATGTTATTTCTTGGAAACACACTACCTCATTGAATCATAGATCAGTGAGAGTAAAACATATATATTTAAATATCATAAATTTTTCAATAAGTTTGACTAAATATATGTGTTTACATGTAAATAACAAAATCAGATATCTTAAATTAACAGAATAACATTTTCATTTAAAATCTAAATATCCTATCAAGTAAACAATCTTCGACTACATTTCTTTATACACCAATATGTCGGTGCTTCTTTTTATAAGTATATACAAACCTTGTCTCAAATTTTCATAAATATATATATGATGTATTTAATGCTCCTGCATTTGGTACGTGATGATAGAAGACCAAACAAATATACGAACAAGAAACAATCATGTATACGATTACGTAAGCATAATATAAATGCGAGTATAGGAGTAGCAAGAGGCAGAAATGATGTCAGAATGAGGGACATTCAACATGTTACGAATTTGAAGTCTTTTTCAGATAGAATGAAGTGTTGAACAGAACAAAGAGGACAGAGAAAGCAAGGCGAGAGAGATGAATGCATGCGTTGCCACCCACATAGTGTATAAGGAAAACTCAAGTCTTTTTTCCTTCTCCAATTTATTCAAAATGGTAGTTTTGGTGTCTAAGGTGTTGGAGCATTAGATATTTTGCATGTTCCCTATGTGATGTGGCTCCATACCATGATGACCTTTCCCTAAACAGAAACTCGTAGTTTATGACAGTACCAATCAAAACTAGAAATGCTTTTCTCTCTCACTCTTGATTGGTCTGTGAAATTCAGTACCCGAAGATTAAATTATTAAACTGATGTAATGTCATTGTAAGTGTAAGGAGAAGTTTCAAATAAACTTGAGCGGTAATGGATTTGAACCAACATTTTGTTTCACTATACTAGTTATGAATTCTGTCCTAGGATATAGGAATTGACGAGGTGCTTCATGAATCGATTTTTGAAATTGTAAAGTTATACCCTGATTATTAATTAGTTTTTAATAATCAACTTTATACACTGTGTGAAATATATTAATAAAAAAAGTAAGGAAATTGGCTAAGAAGAATTGAAGTGTCCATAGAGATAGTGCAATGATGTCAGAAAAGTATATGAAGGTGGAGGAGATGGACATGTGTGTGTACAACAAATGCTGCTAAAGTGCAGTTTTAGTGAAAGAAGGAAGAATGGGATAAAGTAAGCTAGTCGGCGCACGTCACTATCCTCTTCCATATTTACTTTTCCTTCACCCAAACTACCTTTAATTTGCCATCAATGACTACCCTCCACCCTTTCCCCAAACAAGAACACAAGAAAAATACTAATATGCTACCTTTTCTCCCCTTTTTCACTCTTTTTCTCACACTGCAATGTACCCTTTAAATTTTTCTACACTACATACAAGTATACAAATCCCTCTTCACTGTTCTGTGCCTATGTTTTAATGTGCCCATATTTGGTTTGTGCAACAAAAAAATAACTAAGTCCTTCTAATACTTTAAAAATTAAAAAATATTATATACAATGATATAAAAAAAAAGTATCATTATAAATATAATATATCTAAATATAAATCTATTTAATATATAATTTTACATAATTTTAATGTTAATTTTAAAATAAAGTTTAATAATATATATTATATATCAGTATAATAAATATATTTTGTAATAATATATTAATATATATTATATTTATAATGTAGATAAAAATAATTTTTAATGATAAATTTGTGTTATTATAAAATACATATTATTATATGATATTTTTTTTAATGGTATGTGACATGATAGACTTTTTGTTCAGGAAAATATAGTTATTTGACACTTTCAATCATTAGTATCGGACATTGGATTTGAAATTTTGAATAATATATATAAAGTCCTCAGTTCTACCATTTTGTAATCATAGTAATTAATAAAAAGAATCTGTTTACGTCTTACACTTCCTTAATGACTTAACGATTATATTTTATTTTTTAAGTAACTCAAATTATATATGCATATTTGCACTCGAAAAATAACTTTTTTACATCCAATATACTAATATATAGAGAGAGAGAGAATAATGTAATAGATAAAATATTTATACTATATATGATATGATATATAGGAAGAGAGAAATAGAAAGAAATGTGAAGTGTTAAAGTGTTTGAAATATTTAGGGTGTAATATTATTAAGTAGGAACTATTCAACAAACTTGAAATTACTTAAATAAACACCAATCATTTCTACGTTGAGTTTTCTTTTTAATCAATTCTACGTTGAGGTTATTTAATTTTTCATATTGAATATTTGATTCAATAATACATTTTTATTTGTTAATTAAATCATGCTTATCAGCTAAAATCAAGCAAAGTATGCTACTCTGCGCATAAAATTATTAAATAATCAGAAATTAAAATGAATATACTCTAACATATTTTACTACTTTAATAATATTTATCTACTTACATTTATTAAAAAATTACTATAAATTGAGTTAATAAGTTATTTTGTAACATTATTTTCTCTAAAAAAAATGTTATAGAAATAATATTTTTTTATCTCAATATTATTCTTTTTAGTTATTTTCAAAATTAAAGTATTACATTAAATAAATGAATAACACAATATATATAATAATAATAATAATAATAATAATAATAATACTTAAGATAAATAAGTTTAGATATTTGATAGAGATTTGCTGGTAATTAACCAAGAATGTCTTTAACTTTAAAAAATTTATAAGAGGTTAGAAACACTAAAATATAAGTGATAACAATATTTATATTTAAACTAATTATTATTTTATAAAATTAAATATAACTTAACAATATTATTAAAATATTATAAAAATATCATTTTAGTAATATTTGAAAAATATTATCTAATGTATAAAAATATTATTAAAAATCTTTAATAATTTAAACTATATACAATATTTAATATATTATAAAAATAAATTGACAATTTTATACATAATTAAATAATAATTTTTTATATATCTTGTAAGCACGTTATTAAATGACAATAGTAAGATCTTCAGAATACACATTTATTTAGACAAGGTTTTGGGGAAGTGTGACATTTGATCCTACTTAAACTTGGCATAGCTAGATCATGCCACTGGTTTAGGGGTGTATGGAGGGGGATGGGTTCTTATTTCCAGATTAGTATATTAACCCTTTCTCTAATATTGCTCAATCCTTAACCTATTAACGCTTTATAACTTTGTAAAAGAATCGGAGTACCACATGTAATCTCTTTCAATCTATTCATTTGATTATAAAAAATAAAAAAAAGGAATATCCCCATCCATCAACAAGAATTTATTAACTCTACGCATTACTCAATATATCAACAATTTCGTTTTAGTACGTATATACTTCAAAATAAACAATTGTGGGACCTCTCTCTTGACATTCTTCCATGTTTTTTAATGTTGTCTTTTTAGACTTCTGTTTCGTCTTTCCTCAACACGAAAATGTGAAAGATCTTTATTTAATTTTTTTTGTTTACACCGTAAAAATATATAAATAAGTGCATGGTTGATTGATTCAATGCTATAGAAGCCAGTCGGGTTATTGACTGCTGACCATTGATTGTATTCTAGGTCTTCTTCTCATTCTCTCTCTGCCACCGTTGAAAGAATTGGCCTTATTTTACTGCTTAAATAATTAGTGACCTATGATCTATGGAACATCATTTACTTGTTATTGCCAAAAGGAAAAGACACAGAAATGTAAGTTTACAATAACCGTAGGATATTTCGTACTATAATCCCACTGTAGATTAATAACTATTTTTTTTTTACTCAGTCCTAGATTTGTCTTAAATATGGATGGTGGTTCTAAAATCAATTATTCTATTATTAAATTAATATTTAATTAATAAAAATTATTTTACATGAATAGAGATTAATTATTAACCTTAAAATATTGTACAGATTGTAGTCTATAGACAAAAGAATGTTATAGACTTAATTATGCAAGTGAAGTAATGTATAGTACAATGATAAGGAAAAGATTGAGGAGCATACCTTTTTTTTGGGTGAATAAGCATACCATCCCAATTCCTACTTAACCCTGCCTTTTAGCTAACAATGCCAAGCAAACAAAAATAAAAAAATTAATTAAAAATAGGGAAATTTGGTAGGAAAATCGACGACACTTGCGTTATTGTCTTTCATTTTCTTGTCATTGTCCTTGTCTTATGCATTGTCACTTCTTATAAGTTTCTTGCTTATTAAGTCACAAGACTAATATCTAATTGAAACTCATCATCAATGAATTGAAATTAACTCACATACATGTGTTTATATATGTATACACCCAATCTCACTATAACATAACTCTACGTACAATGAACGGGTTGCTTTCGGACTACCAAATTTAATAGAGGAATCTTAACCATGCCTCTAATTACGCATGTACATACCAATTGTGAATTAAAAGGCAGAATATACCTAGGTTAGCAGAGGATAATGTATTACAAATTAAGTGTAACTAATTAGTTAACAAGATATTGTTGCTTTAAGAATTTTTATAGTCAATTCAACTTGCCGTTGGCATTCTTAAAATTAATAACTTAGAAGTAGCTGCAAGTTACCGTCGATATAAATTGTTTTCTTACTATATTTGTTATTAAATCTATGATTGGAACTAATGGTGATGATGTTTGTAAATAAATGGGCAGGCCAACACAGAAATCATGTCGCTTTTGCTTAATAAGAAAGGATTGTCTTTTACCATTGATAAATGGAATAAGGAATTTGATTTATCAACAGAAAATAAAAGAGGATCGAACGCAGATAGCACAATCGAATTTGTTAGGGTTGCTATAACTGAGGGATGATATCAATTATTAAATTTAAATACTCGTAATATGCATCATTTCACACTGTATTCAAATGGGATTGCTAAAAATACTTTGGACTATTTGTGAGAGAGGAGAAATTTACTTATTTAAAAAAAAATGTCTATTTAAATTTATTCTACTAATAATTTATATTTTGTGTCAAATTTTAATAATTTAATTATTAAGTTAAAAGTTCTTATTGTATAGATTGAATATGCAAATTTTTAAAAATTCTGAAAATTATTTGATAGTTTATTTTTTAATTTAAATTAATGGATAATTATAAAAATATTTGGTACGTCGATTTAAATTAATAAAATGAATTATCAAATAATTTTTAAATTTTTAAAAAATTTACAAATTTGATATATGTATTAAGAACTTTTAATTCAACAATTGAATCGTAAAAAATTTAAGCAAAACATAAATTATTTAATAGAATAAACCTAAGTAAACTTACTATTAGAATAACTAATTAAATCTCTCTCTCTCTATATGTGTATATATATATATATATATATATATGAGCAGAGTTCAAATGACACCAGTGTAACTTTTACTAAGTATTACACCGCTTAATAACTTTATATTAAATGTGAATTTTGAAAATCCAACCGTTAGATTGAAAGTTCATATCTCTTAGATCATATATATCAAATTTTATATACAAAAATAAAAAAATTAATTAAAAATAGGGAAATTTGGTAGGAAAATCGACGACACTTGCGTTATTGTCTTTCATTTTCTTGTCATTGTCCTTGTCTTATGCATTGTCACTTCTTATAAGTTTCTTGCTTATTAAGTCACAAGACTAATATCTAATTGAAACTCATCATCAATGAATTGAAATTAACTCACATACATGTGTTTATATATGTATACACCCAATCTCACTATAACATAACTCTACGTACAATGAACGGGTTGCTTTCGGACTACCAAATTTAATAGAGGAATCTTAACCATGCCTCTAATTACGCATGTACATACCAATTGTGAATTAAAAGGCAGAATATACCTAGGTTAGCAGAGGATAATGTATTACAAATTAAGTGTAACTAATTAGTTAACAAGATATTGTTGCTTTAAGAATTTTTATAGTCAATTCAACTTGCCGTTGGCATTCTTAAAATTAATAACTTAGAAGTAGCTGCAAGTTACCGTCGATATAAATTGTTTTCTTACTATATTTGTTATTAAATCTATGATTGGAACTAATGGTGATGATGTTTGTAAATAAATGGGCAGGCCAACACAGAAATCATGTCGCTTTTGCTTAATAAGAAAGGATTGTCTTTTACCATTGATAAATGGAATAAGGAATTTGATTTATCAACAGAAAATAAAAGAGGATCGAACGCAGATAGCACAATCGAATTTGTTAGGGTTGCTATAACTGAGGGATGATATCAATTATTAAATTTAAATACTCGTAATATGCATCATTTCACACTGTATTCAAATGGGATTGCTAAAAATACTTTGGACTATTTGTGAGAGAGGAGAAATTTACTTATTTAAAAAAAAATGTCTATTTAAATTTATTCTACTAATAATTTATATTTTGTGTCAAATTTTAATAATTTAATTATTAAGTTAAAAGTTCTTATTGTATAGATTGAATATGCAAATTTTTAAAAATTCTGAAAATTATTTGATAGTTTATTTTTTAATTTAAATTAATGGATAATTATAAAAATATTTGGTACGTCGATTTAAATTAATAAAATGAATTATCAAATAATTTTTAAATTTTTAAAAAATTTACAAATTTGATATATGTATTAAGAACTTTTAATTCAACAATTGAATCGTAAAAAATTTAAGCAAAACATAAATTATTTAATAGAATAAACCTAAGTAAACTTACTATTAGAATAACTAATTAAATCTCTCTCTCTCTATATGTGTATATATATATATATATATATATATGAGCAGAGTTCAAATGACACCAGTGTAACTTTTACTAAGTATTACACCGCTTAATAACTTTATATTAAATGTGAATTTTGAAAATCCAACCGTTAGATTGAAAGTTCATATCTCTTAGATCATATATATCAAATTTTTAAACCCTCCTCTATATATATATATATATAAGTATTTTTGTACTTAAGGGTTGGTATATAGATTGATTTACTCTATTTAAGGTACGACTCATGGAATTCACATTTATATTGGGTAAGTTCAATCCATAAAATAAAGTGATTTTTTTTCAAATCTGTATTCAACTCACCAAAACTCGTGAATAAATGAACCAATATGTGGAATCTAAATAATCATTTAAACAATATATTTAAATACATAAAATTAGAAGAATATTTTTTTTGAAGTTATAATTTATCAGCATTTAGAATTATTTTAAACATTAAATATTAAAATGTTTTAGACTAAAAGTATTACCCATACTTATATAATAATATCAAAATTTTCTAAATTGAACTAAAAAATCAAACATAATTATACAAATTTAAGAAAAATATATTCGTTTATGCGAGATCCGCAGTCTTACAGATCACCGAAAGATCCGAATCTACCCATCCATTGTACTCATTATTGTGTTTGTATATACATTCAATACATATATTTATGCGGAAGTAACAGTTTGTAGTTTCTTCGTCAAGTCTACATTGAAGAGGAAAACACTTTGAACTTTCTATCATATATTTATAATTAGTAGGTGCTAGCCCTTGTTTGTTATTAAAATCAAAAGGATTGTGTTAATTACCTAATCAAATTGGCGATGTAGTTAGGTCTAAACAACATAGGCAGACCATAGGTTGCTTCTTCCCCATTAACGATGTCGATTGTGATGACATAATGATTTTACGATCTGCCGTCACTATAATTCCGATACTTTATACCCAAAGAAAAGGACAAGCTACAGATTCAGATGCCATGTTCTCTTCCATTTATATGTTTCAAGGAAGGTTCCTGCAAGTTAATTTCCACTCAAATACAACAATGGTGAACCTCTTCCTTATAGCCTATAATTTCATCTACTCTTGAATCTCTTTCATCACAGGATCGATCACAGTTATCAAAGTAAACCAAGTGTCATCTCAATGAGCAGGGTTTTGCTGTGTCATACCTAGGAAATCTATGTGGCATATCCTTTTCAATTGCGAGTTAATTGGCTCCTGAAGAGGCAAAAGAAGAAAAAAAAATTTTACATGTGATTGCTTGGTACCAAACAGAGATTGGACTGGTAAAATTTAATGCCAAACTTCAATTTTTCCAGCTTGCTGAGGGGCCTTTGCACGTAATCCTTTCGGTACATGTTGGGGCTGTTACTCTTATTGATGGATACATTTACTTTGTGCAAAATGATAGGTCACTTGTCATGTTAATTACCATGTACTGTAATAATATTTTTTAGATACAAAATTTAGACAAAATCACATGCACATAGGTTTTAATGAAATTACACTCAATATTCCTTCCGCATTACTTTAACCTGTTTTCGTCTATATATATAATTACATATATAAGCAAGTAAAATCAATGTTATTATATAAATTAAGGGAGGTAAGTTAAAAACGAGAGAGATCAAGTGAAATTTTGTTAAATCTCAATGAGTAAGTATGATTTGCCGTAAAATTTAACTAAATCGAACATCATTTTCCCCACATGCATCCGAACTAATTAATTATAAAAAAAATACAAATTAAAATCTGAAGGAGATCATTATTAAAGTTGTAACTATTCTTGAGCATTTACATGATGTCATGAAATCAAAGCATTAAGTTGACCAAATAATTAGATGTAAGTAAGATATATCCTTGTCATTCTATTTTTCATAATGAAAATGATAAATTTTATAAGCCTATATATATCCGATAATATTATACAGTGTTGTACACAAATTTCTTTGGAGAATGATACAAGAAATCAAGATACCCGTTTTAATTCCCTTAAAAAGTGTTCGGTATATGTCAAAAGTTGTAAAATCTATCAAAATGTTTTTACTTTAGTACGTCTCAAAAGATTTCACAAGACAAATTAGATTTGGATTTGTTTTCTATATGGGTGTGTATAATAAACAATAAGCTCCACCTGCCTCAGCCCCCAGGCAATAACAAGATTAGGTTGTTTTGATGTATATACCATACAAATATGAAATTTCAGAGAGTATAATATATTAAAAAATAAGGAAATGGCCAAATATTTGGATGAAATTTTTTTTGTTTGATATCAAGAAGTTAGACATTATTACATATAAATGATAAAAATAATTAATCCAATTCGTACGTCCCTCACCTTTGAAGGAGAAGATTCATGATTCATCCGTATACACATGACACATCACTAGTGCTGGAATGGTAATAATAGGCATTTAAATTGGTGCTTAGAAAGATGAAAAGCACAAGAGTCCAAATGGGAGACAAATAAATCATAACAAAACATAACTAAGATTAAAAAATTAACCGAAGAAGAAAAAAAAAATATTTCCATCATGCTATTGAGATGAATCCACAGCCGGCTAACAGAATACATCTCTAAGCAAAGTTCTAAGACTTTTCCACTTTACACCACATATTCACATTCACTTGACTATCTTTAGGTAATGCCTATGTCCTTCATTTGTCTCTTTCTCAAACCCTCTCCACCTTCTCCTTTCTATAATACCCTTCCCTCTTACACTTTTATTCCTCACACACACAATATCCATCGATCTTTCACCATGGAAGAAGATTCCAAAAGCTCCAGCGAAGAAATTGATCGATCATCCGAACACAACAATGATGAGATGGGAACTGGAAGATCCTACGAGTGTGTGTTTTGCAGGAGAGGCTTCACAACAGCACAGGCTTTGGGAGGACACATGAACATACACAGAAAAGATAGAGCCAACAAGGCCAAACCTAATTTTCCTCCTTCGAGTTCAACCAAGGTTGACGAGAGTTATCACTATGCAGATCTTGGCCTATATTCTGCATCCAATCCAAGAGGGAATTACTATTCATCTCTTCCTGATCGAGAGGTAGACACTAATTACAACTATTGCCATCAATTGTATTTTCCTTCTCACACGTGTGGTGCCAGATCATCACCACCTTCACGTGTACAATATGGTGAGGTGTTGTGTGTGGAGAATCAAAGGGATCCTCAGCTTCTGTTTGGACAAGATTGGAGACAAAGGGGTTTGAGTTTGTACACTAATCCATTGTGTGTACATGAAAATAAAGACAAGATAAACAACGGTGAAGAGGACGATCTGGATTTGGAGCTTAGACTTGGTCATCATCCATAGCATAATATATAATAGAGTACATATTTATATATATATATGTTAATATATATAAATATTTATAACTATGATAATTAATGTCTGGCTTTTGGGCCTTTATATATATATATTTTCATGGCGTGCAATTGTATAGAGAGATGGGTTGCAAGTTGGAAGCAGAAAGAAGATTTCTATAGCGTGGAGGCTTCTTCAAGGGAGGTTGCAAGCTCGAGTTTCTGATGATGAGGAAGGTACTCAAGATATATATACGTTTTCAATCTAGAGAAAATATCTACCTCTACTATCTAGGGTTCTAGCAGATGTTGTTAATTATCTGAATGTTTCTTTTGCTGCTCTTTTTTGCTTAATTAATATTTATGTATGCATCTTCACGCTTGTCGCATTGAAAATTAGGTTAGTTACTTAATTATATATGCGTGTGCTTTTCCATTTTTAATAAAGTAAAAAATCTCTACTTCTAAGCAATCCAATTCGAAGCAAGCCGTTTCCCTGATATGGAGATTAATTCCATTGTTTCTTGTTCATCCTGTTTGCATTGTTTGAAGTATATTACACCAACGGATTGTTAGAAATTCAAGGACAAACAATGATGTAACTATGAGTAATTAATGAATGAGTAACCACCAATTAATTAGTATAAATTCCCAGTTGAAATTGCTGAAGTACAAAATAGCCCAGATATTCAGGAGTGTCAGATTGAGCTTAGTATTAAAAGGTTATAATAATTCCCACACGTGTTTAACTAATTAATTAAGCTAACCCATTTGTTTGTGTGAGTATGAAGCTGTTTAGTTAATTGTTTTTAATTCTTTAGTTAAATGTAATATGAGGCTCAATAAATGTGATTTCGGCCATTTGGAAATGAACATATTTCTGTGTTTACCTTTTTTTTTTTTTTCCTTTTTGAGAAGAAAAGAATCCATTAAAGATTAAGCATAAGAGGTACCCAATTAGTAGTACATAGTATCTATACACACAATATATGTGTGTACCCTTACATCTCAGCACCATGTGGAGAGGTATCCCTATGCACAAAATACCACGTTGTATATAACTAACCTCCAACAAAAGAACAAAATATTTCCAACTACCACTGTATAGTACCTACACTAGAATGTATAGACAAAAAAAAAAACCTGTTCTACCAAAATTTCCCTTGGTAACGAAGCATTAAAGAAAATGATTTACCTTGATTAGAATGAGTCCGGAGTATCTTGAACTCGTGGAATTACAACAATAGAAGTAATGTTTTGTTGGTCATCCAAATATTATTTTATCTTTTTTGTTCGGCACAGAGGGTAAAGAAGATATCTCATAGAGTATATAAATTTGTCTTATTTTATTATAAAAATATATGATAAAAATAATATGGACAAATAAGATTATTACTGTTACATCTTGGAAGTTATATTTGTTTTATTGTGAATAAGTAACTAGAAGCAATTTGGTCTCTGTATATATATCTAAAAACACAAAACATTTTGTGTGAGGTCTCTTTGAGGTGGGGGGAAGTTGTGGCTGTTGCACTTTTCCAAAATTTATTTAAATTAATTTTGTCATACAAGCACATCGGCTAAGTGTTTGGTTAAGTTTATAAAAGTAGTTTATGATTTTCTTAAAAATTCCTTTTATTTTATGGATTTTATAATATTAAACTTACCAATAAGTTATAAGATCCCAGTTAATAAGTATTATTGAATAAACATATTTAATTAAACTGTTTATACTAATAATTTCCTGGAAAAAAACATATATAGTAGTCCGTGTATAACATTAATAATGTAATATTTTATGTCCACATAACACAAAGATTGCTTATGTCTTCAAACTACTCCTTGGTGAATATACTTGTAGAAAGTGTTCTCCTTCATTATGTTTATACATAGATGATGTGTTTGTATATTTAGATTTAGAGGTTAGTAACACCACAAAGTGGTTGGTCCCAAAATGTTTTCTATTATATATCTTCAGAAAAACAATAGAGAACATATTTTTTCTTTGAAAAATGTGATTTCTTACATGTGATTAGAAATCATCTAAAATAATCTCTCAATCTTTTTCAATCAATCTCTATTTCCATAAAAGTGATATTTATGTCCTTTTCTCTTGGCTTTTTTTTTTTTTTTTCTCTTTTGTCATGCATAAAAAAATTATTTGATTTGAACTCTAGATTGATGACCTTTTTTTTTAGTATTTTAGATGATATTTCAAAAGACTATTTTCTAACCAAATTCTATTGATTCAATCAATACTATAATTGGTCATTATTAAGTTTCAAGGTCTTGAATTTGATTCTTAAAATATAATAAATAAAACGATGCTAGAAAACTCTAATATAGTTGAAATTTTGAAAGAAATCAATTTCTGACAAAGTTGCTGAAAGATATTCTTGTCAATATCATGGTAAAAAAAAACTATCCTAAAACTTGTCGTCACTCCTAGATTAACCCTCGTGACAAGACCAATTATTCGATCTTGCTACTTTATAAAATATGGGTTGAATCAAGTAGACAAATTATTATTATTAAACCTAAATTGACTTAATTTTAATCAAGTTGGAGAATAAATTTTAACTCTTTCATCCAAGTCAACCTCAATGAACCAATTCTTGTAAATTTTAATTTTAAATGATTTAATAAGATGATAATTTTTAAAAATTTAATATATAATAACAATATAAATTTGTTGAATTTAATCTAATTATATTCAACTCAAACAAACCCAACTATGATCTTAAATGATTTGGTTCAAGTACTCGATGAATTGAAATAGTGATTAGATATTATGCACTTATTATATGTTGTGTAAACAAACTAGTTAATAGAATATTACTTATTTTTAATTTTTTTCATGTGGAAAAATCTTTTAAACTACCAATAATAACAGTACCATGTGAGAAAAATTAGTCTCTAATGTATTGAACTAGAAAATACCCAAACAAAAAAATGATTTCATTCTATTGAAGGATAATTTTTTTTTATCCGACCCAACCAATAAGCTAACAAGTAACAAAAGTTAATGCATTTATTTATTTATTTTTATTTTTCCTATAATAAATTTGCATACTGCATTATTCTATACACGCACCTCCATTATTTCTAGCTTGCAGAATCCTTCTCAGCTCAAAATTTGATTTTGAGCATCAATTAAGTGGTGCCATTATAATGGAATATGATTGCGCGACCTTAATTAACATATTAGGCAGTATTCATGAAATAACGTTTCCGTGGTCATGAAGCAAACTTTGATAGAATAGGAAGATGCAAAAAACAAAGAGAAAAGAAATGAAGTTTGAAGATAAGAAAAGGGAACAAATGCATTGCATGTATGTCAAGTTTGAAAATTTGAGCAGGCCATGGACGGATCTATGATCTCCGATTGACTTGGACTTCAACGTTCCTTTGTTGCTTGTTTTTAAATGTATGTCACACTCGCTTTGGTCATGCTCATGCACATGCGTCGTTTCTTATATATATATATATATATATATATATATGGTTAATGACCTTTATCTTTTTACATCTTTTCATTCATGATTAGCCTCAGCTGTTAATGTTTATAACTAAAGCAATTTTCTTTAAACCAACAAAAACAAGTGTTACTCTCTCATTTTTCCCTTTTTTTTGCTTACCATGCAAGAAGAATGCATATTATGTGATTGGAAAATCGGTTGATGGAATAAGTGAAGGAAAATAAATTTATGTGTGAGCAAGTAATATTAGCTTACAGAAGTGTTCATGCATATGCATATGAAATTCAAGTCCTATGAATGCTAGCTAATTGTGTACTCACTCCATGCTAAAACCAATTTAGCGGAAAAAGTTGTTAAACGTTAATGTTATATAAAGTGTAATTTTTATGGTTCAAAAGTTGAATTGTAATTATATATTACTTTAGTTGTTTATATATATATATAT